CACCGACCAATGGATCAACATCACAGACTGGCATAATTTTTATTAATTTATTTTAATTTATCAACAGTCACTTCCATAAGCTTTTGAGTTTAAAATTTTTCTCCCCCTCCCTCCCCAAGACAGCTGGCAATCTGATATAGGCTATACATAGATATTCCTATTAAACATTTTCACCTTAGTGCTGTTGTAATGGTAAGCTTCCCTCTGCATTCAGACTACATTCTTTCTTTGGATGTGGATAGCATTTTCCATCTTTAGGCTTTTGGAGATGTCTTAGATCCTTGCATTGCTGAGAAGAGCTAAGTCTATCAATGTTGGTCATCGCACAACATGGCTGTTACTGTGTACAGCATTCTCCTGGTTCTGCTCACTTCAGTCTGCATCAGTTCATACAAGTCTTTCCAGGTTCTTCTGAAGTCAGCCTGCTCATCATTTCTTATAGCACAATAGTATTCCATTACATTCATATACCACAACTTGTTCAGCCATTCCCCAATGGATGGGCATTCCCTCAATTTCCAATTCTTGGCCACCACAGAAAGAGCTACTATAAATATTTTTGTACATGTGGGTACTTTTCCTGTTTTTATCATCTCTTTGGAATACATACAGCCCCAGAAGTGCTATTGCTGGGTCAAAGAGTATGCACATTTCTATAGCCCTTTGGGCATAGTTCCAAATTGTTCTCCAAAACAGTTGGATCATTTCACAACTCCACCAACAATGCGTTAGTGTTCCAACTTTCCCATATCTTCTCCAACATTTATCATTTTCCAGTTTTGTCATGTTGATGAGGATGGAAGCTAGACCCCAAAAAGGAAAAACCCTGCACTTTCCCACATGGCCAGATCTCTGCATTCTCCTGAGGCTATAGCCCAATCTCTGTTACCCTTAACCTAGCTTGGCCCTCCATGTCTTATGCCCTATGCCTCCCCCCACTTCCCACCTTTAATGACCTCCCTATGGCCCCCAGCCACTTCTCACCCTTAATGCTGGCTAGGCTCCATTCTCCCTTGGCCATGTGGCCCAGGTCCCTGGAGTTCCATTATCTCATAGACTATTTGGCCACTCCTAGATCCCTCCCATAGTCTTTCTCTATATAAGGTCCATCTTGTCTCCATTAAGATGCTTAGATTCTTAAAATCTAGCCAATAGCTCACTAATGTTCAGACTCCTTAAGAGTTTGCCCAACATGATAATGTTCTAAGAAACCTTGTCTTTGACTGAAAGAAGGCTTGGGTTAAATTCTTTCAGGCAGGATCTGTGTGTTGTGATATTGGGGTCCCAGCACCCTTAATCCTCTAAATCTCATCAATGCTGGCCAATCTGATGAGTGTGATGTGGTACCACAGAGTTGTTTTGAGCATTTTTTCACATGACTATAGATGGCTTTAATTTCTTCCTCTGAGAACTGCCTGTTCATATCCTTTGACCATTTATCAATTGGGGGATGACTTGTATTCTTATAAATTTGACTTCTCTATATGTTTTAGAAATAAGATCCCTGACTGGCATCATTTTATCAGTAGAGATGAGATTGCAGAGGCATCTGGACCCTAAGGACCACAAGACCTTTCCATTTGACTCACAGCTGAAACTTCCCATTTATGTTGTCTCTTCCACTGGAATGTGAGGTCCTTTCTAGCGCAGACTGCCTTTTCTTTTTGTACCCCCATCACTTAGCACATTGTTGTCGGGTCATTTCAAGTGTGTCCCACTCTTTGTGACCCCATTTAGGGTTTTCTTGGCAAAGACACTTGCATGGTTTGCCCTCATCTTACAGATGAGAAAACTGAGGCAAACAGGGTGAAGTGAATTGCCCAGGGTCACACAGCTAGTGAGTGTCTGAGGCCAGATTGCAACTCAGGAAGATGCATGTGCCTGACTCCAGACCCAGTGCTCTGTGCACTATGGCGCCCCCTCTTCATATATAGTAAGTGTGTAATAACAGCTTCTTTCATTCACAGATGTGTGCAGGGAATTATGATTTTCATATTATTAATATGATATGTGAAATGAATATTCTTTAGAATAATTTAAATTTCTCAGGGCTGCTTCTTCTGGCTTGGGAGTCAGTAACTCACAATGCAGCTTGAAATGCTCACTCTAACCCCTGACAACGCTCTCATAATCACTGCATTATTGCACTGTACAGTACTTGTGTACAATAAGTGAAGCAGAACCTGCTCCTGTCATGGAACTCTGGTTCAGTGATGGGGGAGGAGGGGTGTCTAACCCTAACCCTAAATGCTCTGGACCCTGAGATTCTTGCATTGTCCTCCGAAGTGGGCCTGTAATCCCTGCAGATGATTGTATTGTAATCCACCTTCCCCATCTGTGATTATGTATATAACCTGTGCCTATACTCCAGCATGTTGAGCATTCCTCACTCTGAAAGTAATTAATTGCTTCCTGGAATGCCTGTCTCTGGCCTGGGTTTAAAATTCTGTTAACAGAGGCAAATGCTGTTATGTCAGTTCCATGAAATGCTACAATCTCACAGAACCTTTTTGATGAGGTCCACAACACAGAACAAGACAGAAACTTATTACAACAAGAAGAAAAGGAAAAGATGGAGGCCTGTTATCCAGACTCTACTAAGTGATTGGATTGACGGTCCACCAAATTAAACCATCAGTACATCTGTCTTGAACAGACACTGCAAACAGACCAAGACTTAGGCCCAAAACTGATGTAGAAAAAGGAAGGCATTTAGATAATTTTGGGTGATTTCAATCATCCCAAGCCATTCCATGATCAAAAAGCCCTTTAGTAACATCAGTATTCTTTGATGGATGATGTATAGCTCTGAAATATAAAATGAAAAAATTGCTGAAAAATCAACATTGAGAGTAACCCTCTCAAGGAAGGGCATATGATGGCCTTCAATACATTGCAGAATATTCTCAGAAGTGGACTCACTTGCAAAAAACAAAGGAGAAGATATTGATAGATGAGGAAACATACCATTGGAAAAGGTGGCAGGTGCCTGTGATAACAGTTAGACAGCCAAAGTGTCCCACTAACATCCACAAAATGTTAATAAGCATCAGGAAAGGATTCAAACACATTAGGGATTCGAACACATTAGGCAGGCATCCCAGGAGAAGCGGGGAGGGAGAAGTTCAGCAGGGTGCCAAGGACTTTTCCAGGAGGTCAGCTGATGCTCCATACTTAGAGCCAGGGTGCACCTAAGCTTTGGTGGCCAGAAGATGTCCCCAGGGCAGGACTCCTTCAGGATCCCTAAAGCCCAGCTTGGAAGGCAACCCCTTCCGCAACCCTAGGTCAGGAGTCCGGGGGGGGGGGGTGCGCAGCAGGGGCCAGGTGTCAATATGCAAAGTCAAGGCACACCTGGGTACCTAGAGCATCTCTGCAGTTGGAGGGCAGAGGACATCCGTAGGTTGTGGGGAGGGGGCAGAAAGTGATCCCTGGAGCACAGCTCGAGGACCGAGGACCCACTCCCCCAGCAGGAGCAGTAGCTAACTACGGAGAAGGAACGGGACGGTACCCATGATTCTGGACTACGCTTCCCAGCAGGCCTTGTGCTCCAGGACAGCGGTTTCCTTTCGTTACTGGCCGGTTGTCATGGAAACAGCAGCACGCACCTCCCAAGAGCGGGGGAGAGTAAGAGGTACGTAACGTCCGCTTCCGCCTCCGCAGCCTCGTGGGCGGTGGTTCTACACCTGCGGTCAGCTGGACCCTTCCCGCCTTCCCCCTGCCCCCTACCTGCCTCGCGCCCCCTGCCCCGCGGCTTCCCCTGCTTGCTCCTCCCCCGCCCCTCCTCGCGGCCCCCCCACCCCTTTCCACGACCCTCCTTCCCCCACGCGGGTTTCCTTGCCTGACCTTTTCCTTCTCCCCACCTTTGACCCCCGTTTGGTGCATCTCGTTCCTTCATTTTCCTCTTCCCTCCTTCATCTCCTCCTCTTCATCCCTCGCTTCTCTTCTCTCCTCCGTCTCCCCTTCTCCATCCCTCGCTTCTCTTCCCTCCTCCATCTTCCCTTCTCCATCCCTCGCTTCTCTTCCGTCCTCCGTCTTCTCTTCTCCATCCCTCCATTCTTTTCCCTCCTTTGTCTCTTCTTCATCTCTGATTTCTCTTCGCTCCTCTGTCTCCCCTTCTCCATTCCTCGCTTCTCTTCCCTCTTCCGTCTCCCCTTCTCCATCCCTCACTTCTCTTCGCTCCTTCATCTCCTCCTCTTCATCCCTCGCTTCTGTTCTCTCCTCCATCTCCTCTTCTCCATCCCTCACTTCTCTTCCCTCCCTCCAGCATCTCCTTACCTCCCTGGCCACCTCTCATGCCCTTTCTCTGCGGGTCCCTTTCCGTCGTCGCTCCCTCTCTTTCCCTTTCTTCCCCCTCTCTTCCTTCCTCCTCCTTTGGAGGTTGTGTGTCCACCCCCTGGACTGATCCTGTTACCAAGTCCTACCTAGGTGGCAGAGATCTCCAGGCCCGCAGTCAGGAAGACCCGAGTTCAAATCTGGCCTCACTCCTGTTTGCCTCAGTGTCCTTATTTGTAAAATGGGGATAATAATAGCCTACCTCGCACATCTACTGTGAGCATCAAATGAGGTAATAATCATAAAGCACTTAGCACAGTGCCGGGCACAGAGTAAGTGCTATGTGAATGTTAGCTATTTTTATTATTAAGATCTGTACATTTTATCTCCCTAACATTCTTCATCCATCTCTTTTCTCTCCACTCCCAATAGGATCACCCTAGTTTGGGCCCTAATTTAATGCCTGTGTAAAATACAAATTTCTTAGCTTGTGTTCAAAGCCCTCCACAACCCACCTCTTGCCTAACCCTGCCAACCCCATCAGACGTTATTCCCTGTCAGGCAGTCCCCATCCCCCCCAAGCTTTGGTGCCAGCTGTCCCCAGCTACAGCCTCCGTGCATTTGCCCGGCTGCTCCGGGTGCTTAAAATGAGCTTTCTTCAGATCTGCCTTTCAGAGTCCTCCTGAGCGCCACACCTCAATCTACGCGAGGGCTAGTTCTGAGGACCCTTCCTCGATTCCCCAGTGTTAGTGTTTTTTGTTTCACAGTGATCTTGTCCTGATGGTATTTGGACATCATCATAACAGATGGTTTTAGGCACTTCCTGGGAGCTCACACCCATCAGAGGCCCTGGGGGAGGTTAAGTGGCCACCAATAGATGTAGATCCATTTGGACAGGGGACCTCAGGTCAGGGGTCTTTAGGCCGCGCTGTGCTAACTGTTCCATCAGTGTGTTTTCTAGCAGACCTTGGCTTCTCGAGGGCAGGGATTGTTTTTGTCTTTGTGCCCCAGCATCTGGTCCTGGGCTTGTCCATACTAGGTGCTAACTAAGTGGGGAAGAGGCTTGGGGGGCAGTGTCCCAGTCCAGGTGTCAGGGAGCTGCAAGGTAGGACCAGCCCTGCTCATGGTTTGCTTTTCCTCCCCAGCTCTGCCTAACCTACGTACTGCTGTTCCCCAAGAAGTGAACTCTGGAAGTGGGAATGGGCCCAGTGCTCCTGACAGCCAGAACCCCCGAGGTGAGTGGGAAGTCCTTGTCTCCTGAAATCAGCATCATGTCTTTCTGATATCTCATCCTCATCACCCCCCCACTACACACACACACACACACACACACACACACACACACACATATATACATGCACACACACATGGCCCATCAGAGAACTCAGAGCTGGAAAAGGCTGAGAATTCAGCTCACGCATTTTTTGCCACAGGAAACTGAGGCCCTGATCACAGGGAGCAGAACCAGGACTTGAATCCCCAGGAGCACTTTGCTCACAACCACTTGGAGTTTGGACCATTCTACAGCAAGGGGGAAGGGCATTCCCTTACCAGGCCTACCAGTAATAGGTGTGGTAGCCAGAATATCAGGAGGGCTTTGAATGCCTGGTCAAATAAGTAAATGAGGTCTCAGTAGCCTAGAGAGTGGCACCAGGTTTTGTTGGGTGAGAGATACCAGGTAAAGTCTCATGCTTGGGTGCAGAAAGTCCACTTCCTGATGCAGGGTGTCCCAAAAGCATGCTGCCATAGCTGACTACCACCCTACTACTTTTGGGACACCCTGTCTGAAAAAGACCTGGGAGTTTCTGTGACCCACCAGCTCTGGGGGGACTCAGATAGATTGTGGGTGCTAGTGCCCTGGGGTCAGGTCAGTCACATTGGGAATATCGGCCAACAGGGGTTGGTCCCCTGGTAGATGGAGGTAAATGTGACCTTGTGGGCTCCCCTTCAGCAAGGAGTGTGTCGTGTACAGGGTCCAGCCACATAGGACTTCTTGATCCAGGCAGAGAAAAGAGAACTTTTTAAAGGAGGGAAGCTGGGCCCTGGCCACTCTGAAGAAGAAATGCTTCCCCGAGGGATTCTCTGGGGCTGTTCACACCGAGCCCTTCCATGAGATCCAGGGTGACATGAGCTTGGCCCAAGGGAAGGCAAGGCTGCAGCCTGGGCCCAAGTCTTTGGACTGTCGTCTCCATACTGAGCAGTCCCATGGGTCTGGGGTCCCAATGGTAAGTGCAGATCCACGCCTGCTTCTGCTGGGCCACAGGGGCCCATCCCTCAAGCTATGGAGGACATGGGCATCCGTCACATTTTGTCTCAGTGTGTGGCCTTCTCATTGTCTGTTTCTAACGTACATTGCTTTATGGAGCCGGCTTCCTTGTGAAAATCCACTTTTGCACTGGAGTGCTTACACCCATCACATGCTTCTGCTCCCTCTGGGGAGGCTCCAGCGTTCAAAGCCTTACTGTTCACAATCCCCTGAAGAACATCAACATTGCAAAGATGGGCCTGCATGCAATCTTAAAAGAAACTCAGGGCCAGGGGAACCAATGTTCTGTTCCCCTTCTGTTTGGTTTTGGGCTATACTAATGGTCCTTTTACACTGATGGTTCAAGACAGAAATACGCGTGGAGGAGATCCACAGACAGCTGCCCACTCTTATGCATTTTTTCAGGTCTGGCTGTTGCCTTGGGCTGAAGTCTGGAGGGTGGCCATGGGTCTCATGTAAGAGGCGCTGCCATGGTCTGGAGCATGACTCTGTCAGCCTCCCCACCCACCACAGATTCCTCTTTGGAGTGTGACAGTTGAAGTTAATGTGGCATATCTAAAGACAGGATGTAAGCTAAGTCCCAGTCCTGGCTTGGTGGAACTCCTGGGGAGAGAGGGTGTGAATGGGTGACCTTGAGCTGTGCGGTGAGAGGAAGCGTGGAGCGAAGGGAAGAGATCCAATGGTGTGACCACAAGCTTGACGGCTAGCCATTGCTAACCTTAGTTTTCCTCTCTGTACAATGGGGATACCACATCCTGACAATAGCTGTCTCACAACGTTGGTGGGAGAGAGCTTTACCCAAGACAGATATGAGTCATAGGACCTTCACAGCAACTCTGAAGAGGCCTTAGAAACTATGACGTCTGACACCTCGTGCTGCAGATGAGAAGAAAGGGGATCTGCCCAAGGTCACAGGCAATAAATAGCAAATAGGCAGGATTTGAACCCAGATCCTCTGGCTTCAGATCCAGCCCCCTTGCTGCTATGACATGCTGCTTCCTCCACAGTAGCTGCTGACGTGATTCAGTCTCTAAGATTCTGGTACGTATTTGCCTGGATCACAGTGAAGCCAGAATACTGAGATGTGTTCCCCTCCCTTCCCTCTCCCCCTCTACCCCCAGGGCCGTTGGAGGGCTTGTCCCTGGATCATCACAAAAAAATTCATTTGGTATTTTAGGGGCCAGTGACCTTCCAGGATGTGGCTGTGGTCTTCACTCGGGAGGAGTGGCATTACCTGGACCCTTCTCAGAAGGAGCTATACCGAGATGTGATGCTGGAAAACTATAGCAACCTTCTTTACCTGGGTGAGAACGGCCCCTCGGGCCTCAGGCTCGGCACCCCCACCCCCCACCTTCACGTGGTTCCTTGACCTCTTCTGGCCTTCCAGAGGGATAGAGAGGTCTGCAAGATGAGAGGGCTCGGGGGGACAAGGAAGCGGTCAGTTTCAGACATTGGCTGCTGGAGATGGAAGACTGGAGGTTAGCCAAGGAACTGGGTCGGGAGAGGTCTATCTGTGCTTTCCAAAATGGATGGGGGCTCTCACTCTGGACCCTCACCCACACAGCCCCCACAGTGATTTTCTTGAGGGGCACGTCTGCCTGGGGCAGCGTCTCATCCCTCCTCAGTACTCTCCAGTGGCTCCTTGAGAAGGGGGAGCTATAATTATCCCTGTTTTATAGATGAGGAAACTGAGGCAGACATAGTGAAGTCATTTGCCTAAGGTCCCAGAGCTGGATCTGAACTCAGATCTTCCTGACTGTGGGCCGAGTGCTGTGGACATTGTGGCACCTCCTCACTGTCTAGAAGTTCTTTACTGGGAGCTCTGTAGACTAGTGAGATCCTAGGTACAGTCAGAAAAAAAGCAGAGGGAGCCTCTGCCGCAATTGGTGTAAATATGTGTTTCGTTATCTACAGTGCCTTTAAGCACAGTGTAGATTTCTTGCTTATTTCTGTTTGTGATGATTACCACCAGAGGCTTAATAGATTCTATTCCAGCCTCTCATTTTAACAGTGTCTGCCTCACTGGTGCCTTTTGCTTTCTTCTCTTTTGTAGGTAAGTGCATCCCATTTACATTCACTTTGATTATTTTAGTCGTTTTTTTCAAACCAGCATCAAGTCCCAGATACAACTTCTCTTTCTCTTCTTTCTCCTCTTTACCAAGAAAAAGATGGTAGACCCGGGAGGAATCTAGAATAGAATAAGATGATCAATGCAAAGCACATTGCCAAGGTTAAGTCATCATGTGCAGGTTAGGTCTACGGTAGTCTCACCTGTGGCCTTTGCCTTCCTCTCCCACCCAGCCCAGCCCAGCCCAGATCACTGGTGTTTCCTTTCGGTTACTCCTTTTGTGATCAGTCTCCATTGTTGGGATTTATTTGATGGGTGGCTGTGGACTGCACGGCTGTAACATCTCATGCCTTCCCTTTCTGTTCCTCTCGATGAATACATATCTCTACACACTTTAGATATATTTTCAACCTTCTTTTGCCCAGTTTAGAAAAGATTAGGGTTCACAAAAAGCCTGATTCCCCCAGTACCATCTCACTGTTTGATTTCTCTTTTCTGGCCTGCCTCAGTTAGGAGAAAGAGTAAATTCCTTCTTCTTCCCTGGTTCTTATCCTTTGAGCAGGACTTGTCATTTCCAAGCCAGATGTGATTCACCAGTTTGAACAAGAAGCCCCTTGGAGGCCAGACAGGAGAGTCCCAGGAAGCGTCTGTCCAGGTGAGTCTTTGAGAACAGTCTCTCTCCTGGTCAGTAAGGGAAAGCTCCTTTACAGTATTGGAGCTACCCAGGCCTGTATGTGCCAGGGGGCCCTTCACCATCACCTCCACAGGAGTGTATCCTGCTGACTCCCTGCCCAGAGGCGCCTCTAGTCTCAGAGGAGAAGATGCTACTCTCGGCATCTTTGATTGAGAGCTGGAAGAAAAGCTAAGGAGAGAAGGAGAGAGAACATTCCAGGCATTGCAGATGGCCAGAGAAAACGCCCAGAGCCCAGAGGTGGAGGGTCTTGTTCATGGAACAGCCAGGAGGCCAGGGTCTTTGGGTCAGAAGTATAAGAAGACAGAAAAGGGTTGGGGGTGAAGTTAGGAAGGGTTTGGAAGGCCAAACAGAGCATTTTGATTTTGCTTCTGGAGGTCATAGGGAGCCGCTGGAGTTTACTGAGTGGGGGTGACGTGGTCAGACCTGTGCTTTAGGACAATCACTTTGTGGCTGACTGGAGGATGAACTGGAGTAGAGAGAGTCTTGAGGCAGGCTGACCCCCCAGCTACTGCAACAGTCAAGGTGTGAGGTGAAGAGGAGAGAGATGCTGCAAAGGTGAAATCAACAGGCCGTGGCACACTATTGAATGTGGGGGGTGGGGGGTGAGAGAGAGTGGTGTCAACAGTGACTTCTGGGTGGCAAGCCTGGGGGTTTAGGAGAAGGACATTGCCTCCATAGTAGTAGGGAAAGTAGGAGTGGGGAAAGGTTTAGGGGGAAAGACAACAAGTTCTGTTTTGAATGTGTGGAGTTCAAAATGTCTGAAAGGCAATTGGAATTCCAAGATTGGAGGTCAGTAGAGAGAAGGGGGCAGGAAACAGATCTGAAAATTGTTAGCATAGAGATGGTAATTAAATCCATGGCAGCTAAGGAGATTACCCGGTGAAGTGTTATAAAGAGAGAAGAGGAGGGGGCCCAGGACAGAGCCCTGGGGGACACCTGTGGTTAGAGGGCTTGGTCTGGAGGGGGATCTGGCACAGGTTACTGAGAAGGGATGGCCAGAGAGGTAGGAGGAGAATCAGGAGAAAGTGGCATCTTGAAAACGTGGAGGGAAGAGAGTATGAAGGAGAAAAGAGTGATCAGCAGTGTCCAAGGCTAAGGAGAAGGAGAAGTGAGTCACTGGGTTTGGACACTAAGTCATCATTGGTAACTTTGAGAGGACAGTTTCGGTGGAATACTGAGGTCAGAAGCCAGATTATAAGGGGTTAAGAAGAGGGTGAGAGGAGAGGAAATTCAGGCATCTCTTGTTGATGGCCATTTTGAGGAGTTCAGAGATAGAGGAGAGACCTAAGATGACAGTGGGGATGGATCAGATGAAAGTTTTTTGAGGATAGAGGAGATGAGGGCATGTTTACAGACAGTAGGGAAGGAGCCAGTAGACAGGGAGAGGTAGGAAACAAAAGAGTGGGGATGGCACAGGGACAGTCCGTTGGAGGAGATGGGATGGACTGTGATCGATTGTGGAGGGAGAGGAGTTGGCCTTGGTCAGCAGTGAGGCTGCCTCAACATGTGGCCTTAGATTTTACTGTAAAATCTGAGGCAGGGTTCTCAGTTGAGAGCAGGGGGGAGGGAAAGCCCTGGAAGGTTGGAGGAGGGATGAGGTTTGGAAGAATTGCTGTGGAGAGTGGGAGAGGGAGTTGATAAGGGGGGTATGGTAGAATTGCCTGGCAGCAGAGAGGGCCCAGGTGAGGTTGTATAACATCATTTTGTAGTGGACCACATCAGAATGGTTTCATTCACTTTCATTCAATAGCAGGTGTGTAGGAGCAAAGATGGCGGGTATGGAAGGGATCTAAGGTAGAGACTTGGCAGAGTATAATCAGTGAAATGATCAGGGGGCCAGGGATTTAAGAGGACAGTGTAGAATTGAATTGGTTCACCAAGGGGTCAAGATGGGGAAAAGAGGAAAGAGTGGCTAGTGCAGGGGAGAGGGCCTGGGAGAGAGTTGAGGGGTCAAGGGATTAGAGGTCACAGTGAGAATGAAGAGTAGGGTTATATAAGGGAGGGCCGAGGAAGAAGTGGGGTACCAGTAGATTATGTTCACGTAAGGGGATTTGGGAATTCTTAAGTGTGGAGGTGGTACATCTGAGGTTAATGGCACAATCCATCTTTGAACTATTTTTCTGTGTGGTTGAGGTAGGGTGGAAGAGTAAGTTATGGGAAGTGGGTAGAGTGAGGAACTGAGAGAGAGTCAGTACTCATGGTAAAGTACCCTGGTAGGAAGAAAGAAAAATAGTAAGCCATGAACCATGTAGCTTCCTCACTGAGTAAGGAAGGGAAGTGACATGGGGATCTGACAACAATAGGTACCTGGATTTTGATTGAGTGACAGCTGAAATGTCAGAACCTCAAAGGAGGAGGGCTTGCTGAGTGAGGAAGAGAGGAGGAGGACCTGGAAGTGGCAGTGAGGAGCAAGAGTCTGCCAACTCCTGTGCCTTGACCATCAGGCTGAGGAGAGTGAGTGAAAGTGTGGCCAATCTCAGGAGGGTGGCCAGGGAAGCTATGTCATCAGGGAAGGAGTCGAGTTTCAGTGATAGCCAGAAGATGGAAGGAGTGGGAGTGAACGAGGCTTAGGATGAAGGGACATCTCTTGCTATGAAAAAGGCTTTCCAGAAGGCACAGTAGAGGTGGCACATGATGTTTGGTTGGAGTGAGAGGTGGGTGGGATAGTTGAGGGGGCTTGGGAATAAGGAATTGGATAGTGGGGATTGGGGGGCGGGGTTTGGATGACAACCTACAAGGGTTCCGAATTTCTGGGATGCAGAGGGTGTGACCAGGTGTGAGAGTGGAAGGCAGCCCTCTTCTCAGAGGAGATGACTGCAGCATAAGATGGAAACCCCCTTCACTGCTGTTTGTTCCTTCTGAAGGCTGGAGACAAGGAAGGAAGCGGTAGCAGAAGCAGGTCTTTCCCCTCTGCCCCACCTGACGCAGCAGAAGGAGGAGGGTCTGAGGTCAGGGAGAAAGTTGCTCCTCTTTGCCCCAAAGGTTCTCCACATTGAGGTTAGGAGAGCAGACTGGCAGCAGGAGGTGGACATTGCCTTGTGCTAGTAAGATGGAGGTCACTCTGCGGGCCCCTTACCTCCATCCTTCAGAGGACACAGCAGCAGGAGGAGGAAGGCAGGCAGGGGAGGGTCTTACTCTTCTCCCCTTGGCCTGGAGATCAGGTGTTGCAACAAGAAGGGGGTGATCTCCTAATACATAGGGAAGGTGCTTTGGAACTGACTCCTGCGTGCTGTGCCATGCTATAATAAGGCTTTATCCTTGCAGTAGAACCAAGCTACACTTTAATCCATGTCTCGTAAAATAGCCTGTAGTTGTAGCCTGATGTGTCCTTTACTGAATTCCCTTTTTACTGTACATATTATATGTTGAAAAGAAATAGTGTGAATCATCTCATTGGTTCTCTTTTTCTGTTCTAAGCATAAAAAAGATTTAGAATCGGAATCTTATTTGTAATGAAATTGTAGAGCAATCCAGTCAGGTTCCTAGTTAATTCAAGAGGTACTCCCTAACTGACAGCTTCCAGCTTCTAATTAAATATTTTCAGATACCATGAGCTGTCCCTGACAAAGGAGAGCAGCACAGCGTGGCAAAAAGGCCATGAGGATGGAAGGGAGCAGACTCACATTCTGGCGGTGTGCTACTAATTAGCTGTGGCCTTAGATCTAAGTCGTTAAATTGTTCTCAGTCTCAGTGTTCTCTTACCTCCTTCACAACCTGGTGGTCATGAATCTCACCATGAAAGGTTTTTTTTCTTTTGTTAACTAAAAGACCAAAAACAGGGTTTTATTATTCTGCTGTTTAAGGTTTGATGGTTCTTATTTCTGGGAGATATATCAGATTGTTTGGCAGTTGAGTAAAGGCTCTGTTTTTGTTTTCTTTCTTTCAGCTGAGGAGACTGGGCCTGAGTGCAAGGAGTCAACTCCAAAGTGGAACATTTCTGTGGAGCATTCATCACCAAACAGGCTCACAAGTTCTGGTCTTTGTGTTTTCAGCTTGAAAGAACCCTGGGAATTTGATATCAGGTTAGGGGAACAGAAGAGCATTGAGGAGAAAAATTCCCAGGAACAAAAGAAAAGTTTCAAACAAATGATAATCAGTGAATGTAATAAATACAACCAAATCTTCAGTCTAGAACCAAAACTTTTTCCACAAGAAGTATCTATAGAAAAGAATCTTTACAGATACAACGTCCACAGAAGGAGCTTCATTCTGTCTTCAGACTCAAGGAAATGTAATAGAATTTGCTCAAAGGAGACATTTTCTCAGTATAATGAATATGGGAAATCTTTTGACTCTAAATTAGATTTTATTGAATATCATAGACTCTGTCCTGGAGAGAAACCTAGTGAGTATAATGAACATGAAAAAGCCATCGATCTCAGTCCATTTACTCATTCCTATCAGTCAATTGATGTTGAAGAGAAAACCCCTAAATGTAATGAGTTTGGAGAGGCTTCCCCCCAAACTATAAAACTTCTCGAACAGAGAATTCACACTGAAGAAAAACCTTATGAATGTAATGACTGTGGGAAGGCCTTCCGCCTGAAAGAACCCCTTCTTCAACATCAAAGAATTCATACTGGAGAGAAGCCTCATAAATGTAATGACTGTGGGAAGGCCTTCAGCCAGAGAGGACATCTTACTCTACATCAGAGAATTCATACAGGAGAAAAACCTTATGAATGTAAAGAATGTGGAAAGGCCTTCCGCCTGAGAGATCCACTTATTCAGCATCAACGAATTCATACTGGAGAGAAGCCTCATAAATGTAATGAATGTGGAAAGGCTTTCTCTGTGAGAACAGATCTTACCAGACATCAGAGAATTCATACAGGGGAAAAGCCTTACAAATGTAATGAATGTGGAAAGGCATTCCGTGTGAGGGCGGAGCTTACTCGACATCAGAGAGTTCATACTGGAGAAAAACCTTATGAATGTAATCAATGTGGGAAGGCCTTCCGATTGAGCAAAGACCGTACCCGCCATCAAAGAATTCATACTGGAGAGAAACCTTATGAATGTAATGACTGTGGAAAGGCCTTCTGCCGGAGAGAACCTCTCATACAACATCAGAGAATTCATACTGGAGAGAAACCTCATAAATGTGGTGAATGTGGAAAAGCCTTTGGCCTCAGAAGACAGCTTATGGAACACCAGAGAATTCATAGTGGAGAAAAGCCTCATAAATGTAATGAATGTGGGAAGGCTTTCTTTGTAAGGACAGATCTTACCAGACATCAGAGAATTCATACTGGAGAAAAACCTTATGAATGTAATGAATGTCAGAAAGCCTTCCATGTGAAAACAGAGCTTACTAGACATCAGAGACTTCATACTGGAGAAAAACCATATGAATGTAATCAGTGTGGGAAGACCTTCCGCCTGAGCAAAGAATGTAGCCGACATCAGAGAATCCATACTGGTGACAAACCTTACAAATGCAATCAGTGTGGGAAGGCCTTCTGTGTGAAGACAGAGCTTACACTCCATCAGAGAATTCATACTGGAGAGAAACCTTATAAATGTAATCAGTGTGGGAAGGCCTTCCGCCTAAGCACACAGCTTACCCAACATCAGAGAATTCATACCGGAGAGAAACCTTATAAATGTAATCAGTGTGGGAAGACATTTCGCCTGAGTACACAGCTTACCCAGCATCAGAGAATTCACATTGGAGAGGAACTTTATGAATAATTAATTGGAAAGACCGGTAATGCAAAAAGCAAACATTTTACCTAATAATTATATTCATGCCTGATAGGAATATTATCTTTAATGAGTGTGAGAAGGTCTTCCTGGGTGCATATATGGCCAAATATAAGCTCATAGTTGTAGAACTAAAAGGGACCCTAGAGATCATCAAATCCAATCCTCATTTTATAATTAAAGAAACTGGGGCCAGGGAGATAAATTATTTGTCCAAGGTCACACGGGGGAGGAATATGAACTCAGGCCTCATGATCCAAGTTCAGCACTCTTCTACTGAATTGTGCTGCCTTGTCTTAAATGTGATGGATAGAAACCATTCCAGCGGCATGAATGTGAAAAGGCTTTCTTCCAAAGTATAGAGCTTTCTTGACAGCAGAGTATTCACATCAGAAAAAGCTTCTACATTAAATGGTTTGATAAGGCCTTCTGCCTCAGTGTGTATCTGACCCAAAGTTAGAGAATTTATCTTGAAGAGAAATTTTTGAATATAATTAATATGGGAAGACCTTCCTGGGAGAGCAGTTTACTTGGCCCCAGAGAATTTATGAGAGAAAACTTAGGAATAAATGAATGTGGGACAGTATTCCCTATGAATGCAGAGCTTACTTGACATCACAGAATTCATACTAGAGAAATTGTATTATAAAAAACACAGGGGGCAGCTAGGTGGCGCAGTGGATAGAGCATCGGCCGGGAAGTCAGGAGGACCTGAGTTCAAATCTGACCTCAGACCAAACACATGACACTTACTAGCTGTGTGACCCTGGGCAACTCACTTAACCCCAATTGCCTAAAAATAAATAAATAAACATAGACCTCTTAATGGAAGGAAGAATTTTACATCAGAGCATTTCTGTTCAAGAGATTCTGATTGGAACGCATGTGGGAAAATTCAGTGCCAGCTTATGCTGCATCAAAGAATCTACACTGCAGAAGAACCGTATGGATGAAATAAACCATAGGTCTTCTGCCGGGGTAAACAGTCTACTCAAACATTAGTTTATACTGGAGAGATAAACATGATAAACACCTTCAATCAGAAGTTGCACCTTTATTCAAAAAATGTAATTTGCTTTAAAAACAAAAAGGGTTTTTGCAATCATGTGGGTTCAGAAAGACTTTTTTTTCCTGTCCTATAAAAACATCCATGAGTTTTCAAAAACCCCTGCAGCTGTATCACATCAGCTTAAACACTTACACTTTTCTAGAGTGTTTATATATGTACTTATCTTATTGAGGATTTAGGCAAAAACCACTGTCATTTCCCAATAAATAGATGAATAAAAAACATTTATTAAATTCTTTACACATGCTAAGTACTGTGAATATCAATACAAAAAGCAAGCAGTGGGACAGCTAGGTGGTGCAGTGGATAGAGCTCCAGCCTTGAAGTCAGGAGGACCTGAGTTCAAATCCAGCCTCAGACATTTGACAGTAGCTGTGTGGCCCTGGGCAAGTCACATAACCTGATTGCCTCACCAAAAAGCAAAAAAAAAAAAAAAGCAGGGTTAGAGTTAGACGACTGGCTTCAAACTGCTTACATTCTAAGCATAGGAGAGCCCAGAGAGTAGTTGTATCCTGAGAGAAGTGTTTTGCTCTGGAGAATGGAGCCATAGGGCAATTGGTCACACACATCTTTTTCTAAAAAGTAGTGCTAATTTAATTACCATATAGCTAGATTTATCTTGGACAAATGCTGTAAACACACAAATGGATAACTACTTGGGACCAGAATAAATGTAGCCTATCATACGTGGTATCACCCCACACCTGCCAATTATGAAATATTCATAAAAGAAATTTTTTGGTACCCCCAAAACATGGACATATCATTGGTTGGGCTAAGTAAACGATGGTGTGTTAATGTAATTGAATGTTTTTGTCCCATGAGGAATTATGAATGTGAGAAATTTGGTGATTAGAGAAAGGGATATGAAAGAACAACAACAACAAAAAAAGGCTGATGATGACTGCAGTGATGTAAAGGAAAAGAACCCCGGAAGGCATCCAAATTCCTGGTGGCTTCGAAGGACTGGCGAAGAAGCGAGCCTCTTCCATTTGGTTAATAAAGTTGCAGAGTATGGTGTGCATTTTCAGATGTGGCCAATGTGTTAGTTATTTTGCCTAACTACTTTGTTACAAAGGAGGCTTCTGTTGGTGGGGGAAGGTAATTAGCCATATTCACTCTCCAATAATGGGAAGATTGTAGGCTGTTTCATAATCTGGATAGTAGTCACTGTGAATATGTGGGATTTTCCTATGTAGGTGGCTAGGATATACTCTTCTGAGAGATGATGGCTATTGTCCAAGAGGTCCTGCAGTGAGGGTTCTGGGTATTGATTTGAAAAGCGCAGTGTCCGCCAATGAAAGCATGCAGAGGACCTCCTCATCCACAGGAAGTCCCACTTCGTCTTGGACTTTTTGTGAAAAGTTGTTGCCATTTATGTCTTTGCTGATAGTAATAATTAGAGGGTCATTGAACATATTATATAATAAGAAAGAAAAATCTAAAGGCCAGTAAAGAAGAGAAGCAGGGTCTATAAGGGAATCACATCTCCAGTAATGTCAGAAGCCAAATACAGGACAGAGAAAAGGGATAGCTGAACTCCTTGGGCCCTGTGGCTACCAACAACAATACTGAATATTGTTATTAGCGTAAGTTGTCAAAGCACTTTACATGGAGTTTTCCTTTGGCCCTCTTCCAAAACTCTGGGAAGTAGGTGACACTATTCCCATTTTACAGATGAGGAGCAGGGGCAAACAGGTTAAGTGACTTGCCCAAGGTCACCTTGCTAGTGTCTAAGGCCAGATTTGAACTCAGGGTTCCCTGACTCCAGGCCCAGCTTTCTAACTACTGTGCCGCCTAGCTGCCTGATTCCCCATAGGGCATGAATTCAAGTTCCCGCACCACCTTAATTGCCTTGTGCACACTGTTCAGCTTCTTAATGATCTTCCTAAAACATGGTGACCAGAATTGAGCACCATACTTATGATGAACTCTGAGAAAATCAGGGATGCTGTAACCCTTAATGTGCCTGAGGCCACTTGAGGTTTCCTGGCTGCTATCTCACACTCATGGAGCTGGGATGCTTGTGGTGCTTACCATTCACCCAATGCTCCAGAGCTTTGTCAGTCTAGCCCTGCGTCTCCCATCTTGTGCTAGGGAAGCAGGCTTCTGGTGTGTTTTATGGAAGTATGAGACTTGATATTTCTCCCTATTGGATGATATCTTACTGACATTGATCCTATGTCCAATCCTCTCAAGGTTTTTCTGAATCCTGACTGTCATTCAATGTGTGAGCTATTTCTTCCCCAAAACCATCACCTCAGTTATGTGTCATGTGCAAAATTTGATAAAGATGTCTGAGGTACACTCCACTGGTGATCTCCTTTGAACTTGACATTAACCAGCAATGCTTAGTGTTTAGGCAACTAGGTGTGAAGTAGGTAGAGTGCCAGCCCTAGAATCAGGAGGACCTGAGTTTATATCTGGCCTTGGTCACTAGCTGTGTGACCCTTGGCAAATCACTTGACCCCATCTGCCTCATCTCTATCTTTTCTCATCTGTAAAATGAGCTGGAGAAGGAAATGGCAAACTACTCCAGTATCCTTACCAAGAAAACCCCAAATGGGGTCACAAAGAGTTGGACACAACTAACTAACTAACTAACTAAACAACAGAAGATGAGTTTTTGGATCTAGTCATTCAGCCAGTTACCAATCCATCTTATTGTTGTGTGGTCTAACTCAAACTTTGTTTTTTATCTTAGAATTAAAAATTAATGAGTTGCCCTGCCCAAACAGCTTTTGTTTGTATTGAATATGCACTATATTAGAAATTGAAACCTCTTAGTATTTTCTATGAAAATAGTTTTGACATTGCAGACATTCTGAAAGTGGGTTAATCAATAAATATTAAGCACCTACTGTGTGTCAGGCACTAAGTACTGGGGACACAAAGAAAGGTAAAAATCAATTCTTATCATCGAGGAGCTCACAATCTAATTGCCGAGAGGGAAGAAAATGCAGATGGGGATTCCCAGACCACATTTCGAGAACCAATGATCTAGCCTGTATTTCTCCACTTTTTCCACAATAGCATGAAGGACTATCAAAGTTTGCTAAAACCTAGGCCAACATCTCTACCAGTCTGTCCAAGAAGGAAATAAGATTGATCCAACACGCTCTGTTCTTGATGAAACTGATAGGGTGCTTGGGTGCCTGTGCTTGAACCCCAATTTTCTCCCTGGCCTCAGAAACACTATCCCTGACAATTTCCCTCCAGCCCAAGTACCCTCTATCTGGCAGTGACTCATGAATGGGCCCAGTGAGGCAAACTGTCTCTCCCTGTTACAAGAATAAGCTGACCTCTGTAGAATTTCCCTTGTGTAAACAGGACTATCTTGTACTAGCAGAACTATCAAGTACTGATGCCCACAGTTACTGAATACAATCTAGAGGTCAAACCATAGACATCAACTCCCAAAACTGTCTTGTTTCAGATGTAACAAACCAAAAACACACATAGTTGTAGGTTAGCATACCTGGCACATAATCCACTGCTTTTCCTATATAAGTTTTAGCATCATTCCTATCAGATTGCAAGTTCCCTAAGGAGCTCTGCCCACCATGGCAGAATTCCTTAAGGACCTCTGCTTGCTATACAGCATAACAATAAATCTTTGCCACCTTGACTCAAAGAATGCTTGAGTCTGTGAATTCATTCCAGACAACTCTGTCCTATACTCCGGTCCTTGAGGGGTCTGAACCTCTCAGACCTCAACAAAACCTTATTTGCTTTCTGAGGTCACTGCTTCTGTTTCTAGGAATTCAGTAACCAGTCTTTTAATTTTGACAGAAAACACTGTCAAGCTCACCAGGCTGTCAGTTGCAAATTCTGTTCTTTCTATTAAATTAAGACAAATTTCTCTTTCCTCAGCCTGAGATCCCTCTCCCATCCTCTAGGGTCATTTTTTAAAGGGCCCTTTCCCTCCCCCTTTATCAGTGGTCCATGCTGAGAAAGGGGTGGTTTTAATATGGAATTAGATTTTAATTCCCCCAAATGCCCAGGAGAATTTGTCTCTGAATGAAGTCTGTGATTTAGGATGAAGGAGGAAAAGGGGCTAAGACAGGCATGAGTTTCTTGATGACCAAGTGGGTATGTGTGGAGAGGGATTTAAGAGTTGGTTTCTGTGGGGTTTTGGTGTAACAGGTGGGAGCAGGCTTAGATTTGTTCACCTTGATGAATCATACAGAATATGAACCAAAATTTTCTGGATGCTTCCAGTTCCCCTGTAGGATGTTGAAGGAGCCATTTCATGACCCTGTTACACAAGGAAGAGGGCTTGTCTGGGGCTTTAGGTGAACATGGGAGATCAGGAATGTGAGGAAAGATTGTCCTGGAATCAGAGAGGCTTGGACCCAGGACCTGAGTGTGTCCTTTCTTCCCAGCATCTCACCAGCTTCAATATGACTTCATTTTGGCATGTAAGAATGTCTTCATCCAACATCTTGACCCAGTCCTTGACTGGCTGGCTGATTGAATCTTTGTGAGGTATGCCAGCAGGGGTCCTAGACTGGCACCCCAGAGAACCTGGAGTAGGACAGAGAATGAGACACAGGCCTCTGAGGTCTGGGAGAAGGAGACTTGGTCCCTGGGAAACAAGGAGCAAGAATTCAAGGGGACCCTTTAGAAGATAA